AACCCGTTTTTGAATCTAGAAAACAAAATATTAGGTAGCAATTATTACTTGTGTCAATATATTTACTTTGTGCATAGTTGGTTTTAACATATTACATGTGAGGATGGATTCTTTTTATTTCTTCATTCTTCCATACCTACTTCATTGCCAAGGCCATAAATATCTGGATGAGGAATGAGTGGGAAAAGGGAAGAACATTCTACAACTCTAGACTTTCAGGGTTTAGAAATATATTCTAAATCAACTCAGTCAGTGCTTGTGTGTATAAGTGGTAAGAGAAATTCATGTAGATGAACTCTCAATCTCTTTTTACTATTTTTCTTTTATTACTCTAAATTCAAGGTTCATGAACAGTCCAAGCAAAATTAAATCATTAAAAAGAAGCCAGAGAAGAGGGCAAGATGTAAAGCAGGGAAAAGACGCTATAAAACTTAAGGTGCTAGATTTTTCAGGTTCCTGGATTACAGTTTTCATGAAAAGATACAGACCTTCCTCCTCTGGAATAACCCCAAAGTTAACTCCAGGGCTCTCTAGAGATAGGTGCCAGGCTCGTAAAGTGTTTCACTGAAACACTGCCAGTGAAAAATCCCAAGTCTGAGAGGCCATAAAGACCGTGATCACAGGGATCTAGGAGATCCTAGTGGTATTGGGCTGGTCCCACTACTTGTTGTTGTTGTTGTTATGTGCTACCGAGGCGCTTGCGACTCATAGCAACCCTATGTACAACAGCCCTAAACTCTGTCCTGTGCCAATTGCACCGTCTCCAACACACCCATCCCGATTACCCCAGTCACTGAATCAATCCACCTCATTCATAGGGGGCCTTCCCCTTCTGTGCTGTCCCTCCACCCTACCAAGCATGATGTCCCTCTTCAAGGACCTGTCCCTCCTTGCAACATGTCTAAAGTATGTCAGATGGACCCTTAGAATCCTTGCCTCCAAGGAGCAGCCCTGTTTGACCCTTTCCAGGATGAATCTGTTTGTTTTCCTAGCAGTCCATGGTACCCTCAACACTCTTCTCCAGCACCACAGCTCAAAGGCATCAATTCTCCTTCTATCCTGCTTAGTCATTGTCCAACTCTCTGATGCATAACAAGTGATAGCAAAGACCATGGCCTGTATCGGGCGCACCTACTACTCCTGTGATTTAAAGAGTGAAGTGAAGTGAACATGGAGTGTTCAATGTGAACAGGTATTCTTAGGGACAGCGTTTGTCCATGGAAAATCTTAAGGTAGGCAATCTCCCCTTGGGCTTCAGTAGATGTTTGTTTGTTGGTGTTTTTTTTTTAATTGAGTCCGTTCTGACCCCTAGCATTCCCATCTGTGTCACAGTCCCATAGTGCACCATCAGTTTTCATGAGTGGCTTTTGGGAAATAGATAACAGAGCTTTCTACTGGGTGAACTCAAACCTCCACTTTTGATCAGTAGCACATTAACTATTTGTATCATAAAGGGTTTCCTTTTAAAATGAAGGTGGTTGGAGTTGCAGAACTCTTAGGTAACATCACTTTGGTATACTGTAATGTGCCTATCTTACAGCACTGTTGGGGTTGCTCGTGCATGCAGGTGCTTGCTTTAGGGCTTGCACAAAGTAGGCCTGCCATAAAAGGGATAAGGCATAATGATGATGATGGGAAAGGCTGACCAACATCCCTTTCTACAATTTCTTTCCTTTACTGCCCCATGTATTCAGTACCATTTCAAAAGCAAAGTCACAAAAAACTCTCCTGGCATCCCAACTGGGAATTTTATTTTGGGATCCCTCCTTTGGAAACCAGAGACTTGGTGCGACTTTACCAAATTTCAAGAGAAGATTGACAGCCACTGGGGCCATGGGTGGATTTCACTGGTCCTACATCACAGAGATTCCGGTCCTTCTCACACCTAGTTGTTGTTGTTGTTGTTATGTGCCGTCGCGACTCATAGCGACCCTATGTACAACAGCCCTAAACCCTGCTCTATCCTGTGCCAATCGCACTGTCTCTGACACTCCCATCCCAATTATCCC